GTTTGTAGGGGGAGGGAGGGTGGGGGAAGAAGGAGTATGTTGGAAAAACTAAGTAGCCTTGTTGTCGTCCATTGTGTGAAAATAACTCGTGTTTTCTAAACAAGTCCTTCTCTGTTCCACTCAGATACTGTCTTAGCCGGGTCGCTGCTGGTGGCACGGCTGACTTCGCCTTCCCCCTTCTCCCTCCACGACCAGCCCCAGCCCTGGCCGCCCCCCGGCCGAGCCAGCCGGGTGCATGCAGCGAGGTAGAGGTTCTGCAGGTGTGCGATGGGGAGGCTGGGTGAAGCATGAGTCCTCATCCCCTTCCCACCCTCAACCGAGCACCGGGGAGGTTTTTGTGTCCGAAGCAGGGTTTTTGTTTTTGGTGGCGGTTGGTTGGTTTTTTTGTGTGTTGTTTTTTTTTTAACACCTTGTCTGTGTGCTAAAATCCCAGCAGCAGTGGAATTACAAGCTAACATTGTGAAAGCAAATCGATGTGTGTGTTGGAGGGCTTCCCTTGATGGTACAGGCCTTTTGCAAAGTTATTTAAAGAGAGTTTTTATTATTTTGCGTGGAGCCAAATAGATCAAAAGGCAAGTCAGATTACAGCCTTATGAATTCTTTTCTCAGCTTCCAAAAGAATCGCCATCAGAGAAAGATTATGATGTTTCTTGGACCTACTGGCATCTTACCCACGTCCCGTCTTCCAGCCTTGGTTCTCCTTGGTCACTGAAACACATGTTGGTGCTTCCAGAAGCACCCGTTGCTATAAAGGACACAGGTAATTCTCTACCTGTAGTTCTCTGCAAATATCTTCACTTTTCTCCCTTTGCTCAGCTGCCTTTTTTTCGTAATATATGCAAACCGCAGGAAAAATGAGGCATATAGCAAAGTGCAGGATGAACTGGGAAAGGTGAGAAGCCAAGGTGAGGAGATCCCAGCTGGGGGGGAGATCTTGCTTCTCCCAGCCCCTAGACTTTGTCACCTGGGTACGTTGTTCTTCCTCACCCATCTAAAAAGTTTCATTCATCACTGGTAGGCGTAACACCTACTTAATCCATGACAAAAACCTTCAGCTTTAGCTGCATTGGTTCACGTAAATTTTCAAATAAACTTTTTTTAAAAAAAAAAAAACAAAACAGGTTTCTCTCCCAGTGTCTCCTAACAGACTCTGTGGGGCTGCTCCGGGTACTTGGATTCTCCCTGTTCATATCGGCCACTGTTGCCTTCTTCCAGCTACACCTAAATGACAACAGCAACAAAGTGCTTTGGAAGTGTCTTGTTCCTGAGAAGAAGCTCGTTTTACCCTTCACCTCTTTGCTTCTGGTGCTTTTTTTTTTTAAAAAAAAAAAAAAAAGGAAAAAAAAAAGAAAAAAAAAAAAAAAGCTGAAGACCTCACTCTTTCCTTGCTGTGGAGCAATTTTATACGATGTCTGTGGTGATGGTATCTTGAAACCCACCACAAAAAACAACCCCTCACCAGAAAGCCAAATGACTAAAGGTGCTATTTTTCCTCCCGTGGTGGGACGGGTGATCCCCGCAGGGCGGAGAGTGTTCGTGCAGGTGTGCTGGTCCGTAACAAAAAGCGTGGTTCCGCCCAGCAGAGGAAATAAAAAGGAGATTGCACAGTGAACCCCAGTAAAGCAAATCAGCTTAGAGGATTTCAGCTGCTCGGTGCCAGGAGCGTGGTGGGAGCCTTGGTCCTGGCACCTGCAGTAGCTCGTTCTTTATTCATTCCTCGATTTTTATTATTTTTATTTTTTAAAGTCGCATCCAGGTTACGGCGTTCAATTCCTTTCTCCGCTCCTCAGTTCCTTGCCAACGCTCGCCCCCTTCTCTCCGCGGGCGTCGTCCCGCTTCGCGGCGCCGATCCCCTTCCCTGGGAGCCTCCAGCAGCTCCCAGGCTCCCGCTCTGTCGGGTTTAGCGCACGTCAGTGATTTGGGAACCTGGGTCTTCCCTAAAATCCTCTCTTTGGCTCAGTGAGGCCTCGCTGCTGCTCCTCAGGACTGAAGGAGTCGAGCGGGACTGGTTGCTTTCAGCCACAAGTGTGGATAACCCTCTAAATACCGAACGCAGCGGTAGGGTCACGCAGAAACATTTTTTTTGTCAACTGTAAAAATCCAATTTTACATTTTAGCTTCTTGTAAAGCCCTCCCGGCATATTTGAAAAGACTTAAACCCCGGTGTTTTAGGATTGGGCCTTTGTGTACTTTTTCCCAGCGGTCGTAGTGGTCACTGGGGGGGGGTCGCAGAGCGAGGTCGCTGTTTCCTTACCCCGACTTTTGCCTCTCGGAGTGTGGACTCTGTATTTATTGTCATTTATCCTGTAAATATGGAGGGGGGGGTAGGGGATGTCTGAGGTCCTGGACATGCAGCCTCACCTGTTACACGTAGACAAATACATACAGTACTTAAAAGATATCTGTAGCTTTGCTTTTTATATGTAAAACTCTATTTAAAAAAAAAAAAATATTTTAAACCCAAACCATTCAAAACCCCCCCCTCGTTTTCTGTGACATTCCGTCTCCATCCGCTGTCGTACCTTGCGAGGAGGAGCAGGAGATGTTGATCTGAGTCCTCCTCTTCCTCACTCCTCCCCGCCCTCACCTTTTTGGGTGACTCGATTTTTGTAATCGGGAGTTACGGGGCGCTTAGCTTTACTTTGCAATTCCTTTGGAAATATTTTATATTTTTTTTTTCTTTCCTTTTTTTTTTTTTTTTTT